GGTCTTTTCCAACCTAAACGGTTCTATGATTCTATGAATTAAGAATAGCAGCTGCTGTTATAGCAGTGAAAATAAAGTTATATGGTTTGCTGACGCTTATTCTTACTGTGTAAAAACAATTTAAGGAAGACCATTCTTCCCCTTGATAAAACATGGTAGTGCTTAATTTTATGCTGCCTTCTGAAGTGCCATGGTCAGAGTTACAGTATTCGACTAAATCCATATTTTAATTCCATCTTATTTGGCAGTAACCTGGGTCTGTGAAGCACTGTATAGGTATATTGAGACATAGGAAGAAAGGAAGATAAGAACGGCTGGCTTGAATCAGACCACAAATTTCTTTATTATAGACATGTCCTCTTCTGCTTTCTTGTTTTTAATTTTCATCCTTTGACCCCACACCCTTGTCTTTTATTTTGTTATTCCCTGGATTCATTTTGGTTTTCCTCCCCTCTGCCCTGCCCCATACCTGTAACCCCTACCTCCTCATCCCTTTTGAGATGAGGAAGAGGCAGAACCAAATTTACTGGTATTTTTCTGTAGTTTTGGTATTTTCAACTCCCCAAAATCTGTACCACCAGCAGTTTTAATCACGATGCTATTCCTTTACTCCATTTTCCCAGACTGTTTATAAATATGCTAAAACAAACCTTAATTCTGGCACAGATCCTTGAGGGAAGACCTGGGCTCCACAGTGGAGATCTCTTATGTACTTGCTTATTGATGGATTTGGAGGACTCTAGTAGGTTTGTGGGACAGGTTTTCCATTTACAAAAGCTGTCTGGACTCTTTCTGAGTGTATCTTATTTACCCATGTGTCCTCTAATTCTGTTCTTATCATTTCTTTGAATTTCCCTGATGCACCAGAATATATCAGGCTTCCCAGCCTGCAGTTCTTCACATCTCTTCTGAAGCTGTTAGAAGAAAATGTTTTCGTGTTTTCTGTCTTCTGGTCCTCAAGGGCGAAGACGGTTTAAAGCAAGAGGTAACTCACCACAGCTATTCAGCTATTTCATTCTTGAATTCCTTTAGTGTTCCTGTATGAATTACCATCTGGTCTTGCTGATTTGCAACGGTTGATGTTACAGTTCTTGGAATACACAATAAGGGATTAACATTTGTTTATGGTTGGTATAGAAACAGAAGGTAAGCTTAAAGCATAATCGATGAAGAATGAGTAAGGAACTGTAGACGTGAAACCACTATTTGAACAGGAGGCTTTTACCATAATATGGCTGCTAGCTTTTCCTTCTTCTCTGTTCAGTTTCCTCCGATTAGCATGAATGCACCTTCAAAAGAAACCTAACCTTCTCACTATGTGCCTCTTCAGATGCTTTTTCGTGTGTGTGCGTGGTTGGTTTCTTAACAGATTTCTCTGCCATTCTCTCATTTGTGTTTCTGACCACATCAGCTGTGTGCTTTGCATTGAAAGACAATCTGTGAATGAAATTGGGACATTGCAATGGGAAGACAGTTCATGGCAGAAATGTCTGTACAGAAGTAGGGAAGCATGTGTTGGCAGGATTGTAGGTTTAATATTGGGAAGGATTTGCAGCAGTGGAAACTAGAGCAGGCAGAACATACTTCCTCTGCCGGATGAAGCACTTCAGCTTAGCCCCTAAACTGTCCGATCTTCTGGGTTGGGCCACTGGGACCCAATTTGTTTTCCAAATGTTATCTATTACCTCTTGCCATTATCTGTTGAGCATTTTCTTTTTATACCTGTACAGCCTTCTGTACACGTAGCAGAGAGATTTAAAAAGAGGCTTACTCAGGATGAGGTGGAAAGAGGCCCTTTTTCAAAAGGAAACAACTTTCTGGTTTGAGTTAGTGTGCTGTGTACTTTGATGCACTCTTTGGTATAATCTCATTTTTTTCAGCGTTCTCTTTTATTTTACTGTTTTGGGGAAAATGGCTGTGAAGCGACCTTGTTGCACATCATTTGGTAGAAATTCAACTCCACAATGTAGTGTTTCATAAAATGGATGTGTTCATAGGAAAAACAATCCCTCCCTCCATCTGCTGCTAGCTTATGCTCACCTAGGAGGGAGCAGAGCACTTCAATCCATTACTGCAGTTGAGTGAACCTCAGCTGTCAATCCTTGTACTGACTTAGTCCACACACTTTCCCCTAAAGATAGTTGCACAGGAAATGAACCATGAGATCTCCTTCCCTCTAAGAAAAACAGCTTTACAGAAGAGGAGCTGGGGTGAATGGATCGTGGTGCCTTTGGGGAATGTCTTGTTGACACAGAATATGGGCCTTTTGTTAGTTCTGAAACCTTATGAATCCTGAAAATAAGCCTGTTTGGTATAAATGGACACTTTTTTCTGTTGTGAAGATCTGCATGTTGCGGGTTTGCTGGCAGCAGTGGGAGAAAACTGGGGTTTGGGTCTGATGAATTAGTGGCTTGGCAGGTAGATTTCTGTCTGGAACATCATCTAGTGTTGGTGACCCATATATAAAAATATAGATCCTATTGGAAATACAAAATTGAAGAGCGACAAGTTGACCAATATTTGTGATAAATTGCATACTATATATTCTGTAGAGATGATCACCTCCAAGTCACAGGCCTAATTGCCAGTTTTGTTAATCTCTGGTGACAGGGATTAAACCACTCTTGTTTACTTGCAGCTGTATGACCCTGGTAATATGTTAAGTAGGCTTGGCTTTGGATGGTTGCTGGATGGGGAGCCTTTCAGGAAAGCAGTAAGTGCTGCAGAGGGTGGCATTCTGCATAATGATAGTATCTGGAAGGGTGCTTTTGTAGGTGCTAGGTATCTGGATGAGATCTAAGACCAAGGCTCTTTAGCTATGATCACCAGGGAAAAGAAGAAGTTTGCTGGTCCTTTTTGGAAGGCTTGACATTACATAGCTTAAATGTGTCTATATGGCTGTTTTTGTTTATGTGCATTCTTTTCAGACAGTACCTGAAAGTCAAAGGAGATGAGGAAAAACGGATACTTTCTCATTTGTTGGTTTCCATTAACACCCACAACAAGATTTCAATTTTTGCTGTCTAATCAGGCTTTTAATCATCTTCCTCTATTGCTTATTGTGGGAAACAGGAAAACAAGAGAAGAAAACATAAGAAAAACAAAACAAAATTGATTGACCTTACCAAGAACAAGAGGTGGGGATTTGGATTTGAGTACAGTACCTGAAATTTCTTTTCTCTCTGTCCTTAATTGATTAGATTCCAAGTTGATTATATCCCTTTCAGCATAGTGACCTAGCTGCATTTTAATGCTGGCAATTAGTTTCTTTTCCTCTAGGAGTTTAAAAGAGATATAACATTCTCTGCTGCTTCTGAGCAGCGATATGTATTGCTAAATGGTTGTTGTGCTCTATTTTACAAGTGGCTGAGTATCCAGCTTGGGCTTGCCAAATTCTGTGTCTAGTTTAAGTTTGTCCATAGTGCTTTGAGTGAGTGGCAGAGCATCAATAATGGTTCTTTATTTGTCTCTGTATTAATAGTAGTCTGGTGTTTGGTGGTTTTGGTAGTGTAAGATGCTCTCAACTGATGGCTGCTGGACAGATAGGTATGTCCTTTATATGTGTTAAAAAAGAGGAGATTCTTTTTTATAGGCATAAATTTTCATGGTTGTTTTCTGGTTGGTTTTGTTCGATGGTTGTTTTTTTCTGTTGTTTGTTTGATGGTTGTTTTTTCCTGGTCCCAGTGTTGTATGAGACATATGGCTGTTTGTGCACTTCAGAAATCTGTTGCTGGGAGGTGGAGGGGGGAGTGAGGGAGATGTAAAAACAGTATGGGTGACACTTGGTTTATAAGGGAACTGATGATGTTTTAATTCATCTTGTCAGAGCACCTGCTGTCTTCTTTACAAAGTAGTTACATAATTGAGTCGGAATTGGGATGTGAGTCATTTTCCAGCAATTAATAACTGGGATGAACCCATGACCTGAGATCCACATGCTGTTCTTAATATCCACTTAAAAATATCATCATCTGCAGCTCTTAATACAGTGTGATCCCCCCTTTATTTGCATAATCAGAAAGTGCTGAGCTGGTGTTCTTGGAAATGAATGATTTTGGTCCTGATAGCTCTAAGTTTAACCTTCCATTTTTACTCCCCTGAAATGTTCTCTTTTTAAACTGCCGCGTTTCAGTGGTTTTCTATGGGTCAGTTCTGAGGATCAGGGCGAGCTCTGTGACCACAGGAGGCTCTGTGACCCAGCATCTCAGTGAAACTGAAGGGTACCTAATGCACTCCTTGGAGAGACAGAGTAGTGAGAATTTTATCGAGGCATCAATGCTGTCTGTGTACTGTTTAATCAGGTCTTGTTACTGGAAAGGGTGTGTGGTGATATGGAAGTAACGTAGGGTGGGAGCGAGGCGAATCTCAGGGTGAGCTGCGGAAGATGTTGGGAGAGATTGATCAGAAACAAGTGAAGGATGAAATTGTTAGCTTAATTCTGCTATTGGTGCTGAATGAAGTGTAAAAAAGTGCATAAATATATTTAGCAGAAAGGAAATGTGATATTTTGACATCAGCATTTGAAGACCGTGTTACTGATACAGGCAAATACATCACATGCATTAATTGTGAGTTGAGAAATCTGGTAGAAATATGTTTACCTTTCAGAGGCCTCGCCTTATCTCATCTTCTCTTTTTCCTGTGTGGAATTTCTATTTGTTAATTCATCTTGATGAAAAACTCAGTTGCCTGACTGTAAATGAATGATGTTTGAAGTGCTCATGTCAGTTGTTCTCCATCTCCTCCGTCCTGTGTGGTCACTTCTTCCTGTGTAGCAACACCAAGAAAAGAGGTCTCAAACCCAAGGGCAGGGAGGGAATGCTGCTCCACACCAGAACCTCTCCAGGCCTCCTCCCAGGGCCTGGTGTTCACTTCTTAGGTTGCATACGGGGATACGTATTTCAGTGTCGTGCTTAATGATTACTGGAAACGAGGGAAAGGAAATGGTCCTTTTGGCTACAGTGTAACTTTATACAACGTATGTGTATCCTGTTTCTTGCTTTTTATGTGTGTCTTTTGCATTATAAATTCAGATCTTGTCTATCCCAGAAGCCTTTGTATCTGACTATTAGGCCTGTGACATCAGAGATAATAAGGAAGAGAAATGTAATTAACTGAGAGGGGAAATGATTCGCATTCATGTTATTTAAAATGCCTTTTTTTGTTTGTGTCAAGGACCCATTTAATTCACATCTCCAGGAGAAAAGCTCTTGGGTGGGAAGGGAGTTGCTTAAGCGTTCAGAAGATTTGCATCCCACATTCATGAATCACCCAAGGAATCTTGCGGCATTAGGAGGGAAAATGAGAATTGTCAGTGCTGAATTGGAGGGAGGGGAAGAAGGGAAAACAGATAAACCCTTACTAGGTAGTCTTCATGTGTAATGGAGCAGCTGTGGAGAACCCCAAACAATCTGCTTTCCCTTTGTACATCACCTTATTATTGACAATATCTCTTCAACTGATACATTCCTGTCAGTTTTGGAGGTGTGCTATTTTTGTCTTTTCTGGTTTTTAGAGGAAAAGGGGAGCCAGTGACTGAGCTGAGTTGGTCCTCCTGCCGGCAGCTTCTCTACCAGTCAGTGGCCACCATCCTGGCTCACACAGGCTTTGAGTGTGCCAATGAGAGTGTCCTGGAGACCCTGACAGACATTGCCCACGAGTACTGCTTGAAGTTCACCAAACTGCTGCGCTTTGCTGTGGATCGAGAAGCTCGACTTGGGCACACCCCTTTCCCCGACGTCATGGAGCAGGTCTTCCATGAAGTGGGCATTGGCAGTGTGCTCTCGCTGCAGAAGTTCTGGCAACACCGCATTAAGGATTATCACAGCTACATGCTTCAGGTGAGAAGAGCAGTAGGGACCTGACAGCACCAAGAAATGTACCCCCACTACAACTGCTTATTCCTATAGCAAGTCCAGGGTCTTACTGAGGTAAAATCTGATTAGAAAACCTCTTGGGTGTGGAGGAGAGTCATTAAGGAAAAGAGAAACAGGATTTTTTTGACTGGAGGACAGACCCCTTATTTGTGTCCCTACTGAGGCTAAGAATGCTCTACTGATTGTTTGTCTGGGTTTAAGAGGAGGCCCCCAGTTCTTGAATGGCCCAGATGAAAATACCAAGTAGAGGTAAACTCAGTAGAATTCATAGAATTTTCTGCTTTAATGGGATATTTGGCTGCTTGCCATTTCAGAAAACAAGTAAGCAGACAGACAAAAAATACTAGGGTGTACAGTGCCTTGTGTTCGCTTAAGCAAGGGGTGACTTGCTTAAGCTTTATGTGTGTAGGGTACTATAGTGCTGATCTAAGTTGTCACACAGGTGCTACCTTCCCTTCTAGAGGGGTCTGTGCTTCCGTGGCGAAAGAAGAGGAAATGTAAAATTCCTTGGAATAAGAGGTATCATATAAATGTAGGTTGTAAGAATAAGGGTATGATTTCTCTTGGCCCAGGTATTCTGTGAAATTAAGCATATGCATTCTATTTCATAGAATAGAATCATGGAATCGTTTAGGTTGGAAAAGACCTTTAAGATCATCCAGTCCAACCATTAACCTACACTACCAAGTCGACGCTAAACCAATCAAGGGTAGACTAGACTAAACCATGTCCCGAAGTGCCGCATCTACCCGTTTTTTGAACACTTCCAGGGATGGTGACTCCACCACCTCTCTGGGCAGCCTGTTCCAATCCTTGACTACCCTTTCTGTGAAGAAATTTTTCCTAATATCCAACCTAAACCTCCCCTGGTGCAGCTTGAGCCCATCTCCTCTTGTCCTATCGCTAACTACCTGGGAGAAGAGACCAACACCCACCTCACGACAACCTCCTCTCAGGTAGTTGTAGAGGAATAGTGTGGCCAGCAGGAGCAGGGAGGTGATTGTCCCCCTGTACTCGGCACTGGTGAGGCCGCACCTGGAATACTGTGTCCAGTTTTGGGCCCCTCAGTACAAGAAAGACATTGAGGTGCTGGAGCATGTCCAGAGAAGGGCAACAGACTGCCCAGAGAGGTGGTGGAATCAACATCCCTGGAGGTGTTCAAAAAACGGGTAGATGTGGCACTTTGGGACATGGTTTAGTAGGCATGTTGGTGTTGGTTGATAGTTGGACTGATGATCTTAGAGGTCCTTTCCAACCTTAATGATTCCTAGTTTTGCTTTCATTAAGAAATAATCCAGCCACCAAGCCAGGAAACGTGAAATTAATTATTATTCTGCCCTTAATTGGTTTAGAGGTGGATTTGGTAATGTTAGGTTAATGGTTGGACTGGATGATTGTAAAGGTCTTTTCCAACCTAAACAATTCTATGATTCTGCTGATGCAGGTCTCTCTCATCCTGCAGCTGGTCACTGCCTCTTACTTGTTTTGTTCTTTACGCAGGGCTGAGGTCCACAGTAGCCTCTGTATTTGGAAGTATATCTAGAAGGGGGAAATAGGCTTTGCTATTCTTTTTCCTTCTTGCTTCTGTTGTTAAAAAGCCTTCAGTTTTTCCTGAGCACAGTTCACTGGCTGTTGGGATCCAGTGGTATAAACAAGCATTTGTTATAAGTGGATGAAATCTGAAATTTAATTGCTTACAGTTGTTAAGTTTCTAGAAGTACAGGGTAGTTCTAAATCTTGTTCCTGTATTCATTTCACTTCTCTGAGTGGAGAAAACTTCTGTGTTTTTTTGCTGTGAATCTGACAGAAGGTACCCAGGCTTTGTCCAGTGGTGACTACAGAGCTGATGAATAACTGAGCTGCTTGTTTTTTAATGCTAGTATAAATTTGTTACTGGCAGATGTTACTGTACAGTCTTACAGGTAAAATCAGAAAGTAAGACTGAGGCACTTTGCTTTTGTTTTGTGCTCTGTTTAAATTTCTGGGCCTCATCATCTCTGTCTGTGAAATAAAGGTGCTCATATTTATCAAGCAGATGTGTTAATGGATTAAACCTCATATTAAAGTCCCTTGTTGCGAGACAGAAGGTGTTCTTAAAAGGGAAAAAATCTTTCCTGTGTAGCTGGTGACCTGTTTACTTGTTTGTTCAGGTCAGATGTTAATAATATTCTGGGAACAGAGTGCCCTGCAATGTAATTGCCATCAGAGTCTCTGAAGTCACTCTGACCTTTCTGGCCTCTTTTTCACCCCCACTGATCTTTGACAGGTTAGCAAGCAGCTCTCTGAAGAATATGAGAAGATTGTCAACCCTGAAAAGGCAGCAGAAGACACAAAGCCTGTGAAGATTAAGGAGGAACCTGTTAGTGATATTACTTTCCCCATAAGTGAGGAGCTGGAAGGAGATCTGGCTTCTGGTGACCAGTCTTTGCCTGTTGGAGTCCTTGGAGCTCAAAGCGAGCGCTTCTCTGCCAACTTGGAAGTAGAAGCTTCCCCACAGACTTCAGGTAGGGGTTTCTTGCTAGGCTGGAAACAGTCCATCAGCAGTTCCATGTGATCTTGTTTCCATTTGTAATAGCAGATCACAATGTGAGGAAGGAGAGGGAGAAGAAATTTTTAGGTTTTAGTAAAAAGACTTGGATGGGAGGGAAACCCTTGCTTGCTTTTTAAATACAAACCCAAAGAATCAAACGAGGAATCAAAATTAGTGGGATTAATTAAATATTTACTCCATTCATGGACCCTAGAGAACACAAAATGCTTTATATGGTGTATCTTTCTGGGGATTGTTAAAGTTCTCGGCTTTGTTATTGGTGTGAAGTAGATTTTTTTCTACAGTGATGGCCCAAGGGCTTTATTGTTGTTTTTTGAACTAGGGTGTTTGCTGCAGATGTGAGTACCAGGGTTTTTTTTTCTAGTCTAATGTAACAAAGATAAAAATAACTTTTGGGTTTATATATATGTATATATTTTAGTTTAAAAGAGACTAGAGTTTTATCCTTTTTTCTTTTCCTTTTTTTTTTCCCTGGGTAGTTTTGGATTCTTGTCCAGAGATTCATGTTACTGAAAAGATGAAGGCCATGTTCCTTGTGACTGGAGTAAATTCAAGACCCTATATAATTTAGGCACTGAGTGAGTTATGGAAATACTAATGATACTTGGTGCAGTCTTCCATATTCAGAAGTCACCCTGGTAGTGACAATCAGTGTTTTGTGAAAGCTTATCAGTGACTTATGTGAAGTGGGCTTGAGGAGTCTCTACTATTCTAGCATCTCTACCCCAAAGTAGTTAGCTGAGGCCATGGAGAGTGAAATGGTGAGAGAAGTAGTGGGGTTATGGAGACTGCACAATTTTCCTCAGAGCGTTATCCCTTGATGTTGGCATTGAAGCACACTGGTGGCCAGCATGGGAGAATCAGCTACTGCTGTGCCTTTTCTATACCTATATACAAGTTTTATTCTGTGCACTGTTCAGTAGTGCTAAATTTTCTGGAAAATGAAGAAGACTCTCTTTTCCCAAAGAAAACCAGTTTTGATTTTTGTATAGAACCTTCTGAACTCTGGAAATCCCTGCAATAATAACTGTTTCACTTAAAAATCTGGTTAAAAAACAATGAAGCCTGTCCTTCTTTTAACCTTAAACTAAGTAGCATATATAGTAAGGTTAGAGTATACCTCTGAGTCCATTAGTTGGTTTTTTTTAGATAGCACATTCTGCTGAGTTTTAAAAAAGCACAGATCCATCTGATGTTTTTCTGGAAGCTCATACTGTTTTCCATAGTACCTCTGAAATGCGAAGTGCTTGCATTTTTGTGGGAGAGTGAATGGCAGACTCCTCTGGCCCATGTGGGGTTGCGAGTGATTCATCTGGAAAGCTTTGTATTAGCATCTACCACTTGAGATCCAGAGGTTAGCATGCTAGCTGTATATTAAATGCCTCTTGCCTCTCTGATACCGAATTGATGTTTTCTAATTAAGAATACAAGTGCTCTGTTCCTCCCTGAAAATCCCTCTTCGCTTCACAAGGGCCTTTGGAAATCTCATCACTGTGAGAAGTCCCAGTCTAGAGCTGGGCAGGCTGGAGAGTGTAATATCATAAGAAGCGAGAAAAAGCTGCTGCAATTAGGACACCACCATCTCGAAAATACAAGTGTGAGGCCTGTAGAGAGGGCAGCAAGGCTTCAGTGTCTGAGGCCAAAACTCTCGTTACAGCCTTCCGTGTTCTGCTTGTGTTTCTGCTTATGCCTGATGTTGTGGTTGTGGACTAGCTGCTTGATTTCATTGCAGTTGGGGAAATGGAGACAAAATTGGGGACCTTGTTCCTCCACCCAGCTGGATAACACAAGGATTAGCTCATTTGTAAAGTACTTTGAAGTTAAAGTGCTTTGAAGATGAAACGTCCTCTGTAGATGCTTAAGTACTTTTAGTCATTAGTGACACTCTTACTGAGAGGTGATAGAGCTGAAAGGAATAAGGCTGAGCAATGAAGAGCAATTGATGAAAGAAAGACACAGTTAAGTTTAGTGACCATCTTTGGTTATTGTATAGACTGGAGCTGCAACTCTGTGGAACTGATAGTGTTTTAATGATGTGTTCATTGTTGTTGAGAGGAATACATTTACTTATAATTAACATAAAAAGGGCTTTTCATTAAGGCAGCTGGACACCAGCAAGCGCTTTCATTCTGTCTTGCTGTCTAACTGCTGAGCTAATGTAGGCTGTGTTAGCACAAAGGTCTCCTAAACCCTGGGTTGGGCTAAGCTGCTCTGGAAAAGATTCCTGACTCCCTCATAAGGAATTCTCAGTACAAACGTGTGGTGGAAGTTTTGTTCTCTGTGTAATTGCTAGTAATAAGGGACTATTGTTAGTAGTATATTGATAATAGGGAATAGTAGTAGGTTTGGCTCAGTACAAGAGGTTTGGTTGTGCTTTCAAACTGTAGCCAAGCTCCTTGAGACACAAAGTTTGGAAAACTTATTAAAATTGGTTTCCTAGTTTTTTTTATTTTCCATGTGAATTTAACCCCACACAAGAGGGACCAGATTTAAAAGTGAGAAGATTTCAGGCTTTGTTCAGTTCTGGGCTGTTTATGCCCATCTCAGCAAGGAGCCCAATTAGTGTATTTTTAATAGGGTTTTTGTCTCTCTTAAAACTGTAAATAACCAGAAATAATGCAATCTATAATTACTGCTCTCGGGGAGAAAAACATTTGCTGCTATCCAGAAACATGTTTTTGTAATCTTGTACAGAAAATCCTCAATCTGCTCAGATTGCACACTAGTCCAACAGGTTAAAAAAAAAAAAGGGGAGGCGAGGGGGAGCTGTTTCCCAGCAGTTGAGCCAAGAGGGTTTCTTCCTGTTCTGCTGAAAGATGGGATGAGACCTGCAGGTGTTGAGTACAAGGAGGCAGGCAATCAGGTAGCTGACTGCAGCTCTGATGTCCCTGCATTTCAGTGCTGGAAGTGGTATTTGAGGCTGTTCATCTACCTGCTCCTCAGCCCTCTCACTTCACCTCCCCTGCAGAAGTCTAGTATGTCTGACAGCTTAAAGGAGGTTGCTGATGCTGCAAGGACCTCATCATCATGAATGACTTCTGGACTGCCTCTAAGTCCTGCTTATGCAGGGTCTAGTCCATGTGCTGTTGGTGTACTCATTGCTGCTGAGACACTCCTTCTGGAGACTGATGTGGGCTCTTTAAGTTGTTTCTCATGGAGAAAACCATGTGGAGGATTGCTGTGAAAGGATAGTGTCATATTTTTTAGAGTGGCAATTGCTGGGCTATTAAAAAAAAAAAGCCAACAGATTTTTTTTATTTACTGTTTCACAGTGCTTGGTGTGTTTTGTTTGTTTTCCCCCCAGCCTTGTTCACCTATAGCTTTGCTTTTGCTCCTTCTTTACCAGTGCTGCTGTCCCTTCCATCTGCATGCTGTTTGTAATTTGTCTTTTTACTCAGTTACTAGTGTGTGCTTTTTCTTTCTCTAGGGGCTGAGGTCAATGCTTCCCCACTCTGGAACTTGGCACAGGTAAAAATGGAGCCACAGGAAAATGAGGAGGCTAATGTACATGGCCATGGGGTCCTAGGCAGTGACGTTTTTGAGGAACCGATGTCAGGCATGAGCGAAGCTGGGATGCCACAGAGCCCCAATGGCTCTGAGAGCAGCTACGGTTCTCATTCTGCTGACAGTCTGATGGGATCCTCACCTGTCTTCAACCAGCGCTGCAAGAAAAAGATGAAGAAGATGTGAAAAGAGACAGTCTTTTTATTTAGTCCTGATAGTATGTAATAGACTTGAAATGAACTAAGAGAGTACTGTGATGGCTATAATTCATAAGCAGGGCTGGCCCTGGTGTATGAGAGACCTTGCACAAAATTACCATGAAAGGTGTGATGTGTAGTGCTCTTCAGCTCCCTGCTTTGCTGGCTTCTGTACTCCATCCTGACTCATGAGATTGAAGATCACCCTATACATTTGATGGTGGCATGGCCTGCTTTGGCAGACTAATGAGGAAGTTACCAGTGGAAAGTAGTTATGAGGAGATTTGCTAAGTCATAGAGTCATTGAGTAATTTGGGTTGAAGGGACCTCCTGACATTTCTCGTCCAGTCCCCTGCTTGAAGCACAGCCAATTCAAGCAGGTTGCTCAGGGCCTTGTCCACTTGAGTTTTAAGTATCTCCAAGGACGGTGATGCCAAACCTCTTTGGGCAACGTTTTCCCATGTTTGTCTACCCTCATAGTAAGAAAAAATATATTCTTGCATGTATCTAGTTGGAATTTCCCATGTTCCAACTTGTGTTCGTTGCCTCTTGTTCTATCACTGTTCATCTCCAAGAAGAGTCTGACTGTCTTCTTTAACCCGCCCATTAAGTGGTTGTATACAATGAGATCTCTTTTTAGCCTTTTCTCTTCTGAAGTGTGAAGAAACCAAGCTCCCTGAGCCTCTCCTTGTATGTCCTGTGCTCCAAACCCCTAACCAGCTTTGTGGCCTTCCACTGCAATTGCTGCAGTGTCCTTCTTTGTAAGGGAGAGCACAAAAGTGGATGCAGTCCTCCACGTATGGTCTCACAAGCACTGAATAGAGAGAAATAATAATTTCCCTCGATGTGCTGGCTACATGCTTGCTGACTGTTGTGGGCAGCAAGACAGTCTTAAGTCAGGGTATTTCACTGCTTGGGGAGCTGTTGCTGATGAGTATGATGACCTAGCAAAGATGCTGTAAAGTGGCCTCACAGTACCATCAGCCAGCTCCGTCAGTGCCTTCAGATCCATCCTGTCTGGTTCCATGGACTTAGGTATGTCCAATTGGCTTAAGTTCTTGCTAACTTGATCTTCTTCTACTGTAGGTGATGCTTTATTCCCGAACACTCTGCTAGAAGACCCAGGGACCTGGCAGGCCTGAAGGCAGATCTTATCAGTGAAAACAGGCAAAAAAGGTGTTGAGTACATCAGCCTCAAAGTACAAAGTGCATCCTTTGTCACCAGATTGCCTGCACTGTTGAACAGTAAACCCATGTTTTCTTTAACCATTATTTTGCTTCCAGTGTACTTAAGCCCTTCTTCAGATTTCTTATCAGTTTCAACTCCAGCTGAGCTTTTGTCTTTCCTGACTGTCCCTGCGTGCTTGGGCTGTGGCCCTGCTGGTCAGCCCATCCTCGCTTCCACCTCTGTGTACTTTTTCCTTTGTGTTTGAGCTCAAGTCAGGAGTTTCCTGATCATCTGTGCTGGCCTTCTGTCATGCCTGCTTTACTTTCTGCTCATCAGAAAGGACTGTTCTTCTACTTTGAGAAAGCTGTCTTTTAAGATAAGGCGGTACACTTGGTCCCTTTGGGAGGCCAGGGCAGTCCCTCATGAGGTCCTGCCAAGATGTTCCTTGAATAAACCAAAATATGTTGTCCTAAAGGTCCAGGACTCTGTCTTGTACACGTTTCTCAGGATTTTATATGCCACAATTCCATGTCTGATGCAGCCAAGACCTTCACATTTTCCACCAATTCTTCCTTGTTAGGAACAAGTCCAGCAGAGCTTCTTCCCTAGTTTATTTCTTGATCATCTAGTCAGGGAAGTTGATGTGGTTTCCTGGAGAGAATGAAGCAGCTTTTACTATTGGTGTGAGCCAGTACTGGCAATGCAAACTTTCCCTTTGCTCTCATTGGATTGAGTGTAGCAGCTTCAGGCTGGCTGAGGTTTTGTATTCAAAGTTGTTATCTTGACAACTTAGTCTGAAGTAGAATCTATTTTGCTGCTTGCTTTTACGGCCCAGCTGACTGATGGCATTTTTTTTTGTTCTGCACAGTCCTCGGTTGATCAACTCAGTCTTTAACTTGATTCAGTGAGTATCTCTCTCAAAAAAGCTAGAATGAACATGAATCAAGAATGAACAGCCACTTAAACTGGCTTTATACCTGTAACCCATTGGGATGTTTGAGGGAGATTTACCAAACCTCCCATTTGTCCTTACAATTGCAAGTTTATCTTTTGAAAGAATGAGCTCCAGGCATAGTATTTTGGTTTCTGTATAACATGCCTAGCCTTAATTCTTTTTTCCTGACTGTATTTCTCTTCCACTTACAGAAGTAGAAGCCAAACATAAAATTCCTCAATGTCTAATAAGAATGTGTGACCACAGGCTTTTATGGACATAGGAGTTAAAATTGTCCATCACAGTTTTAAAGGTTTCTCCTGGGGGCTAAATTCTGGCTATTTGAAGCCTAGTTAATAGTAGAAGAGCATACCCGTGTATCAGGAAATCTTTATTTTGATTCCCTCTGAGTCACCGTTAGGCAAGCTGCAATGTCCCTGTTTTCTCAGCTGTAAAAGAAGAATAGTAGTGTTTGCGTCTTAAAAATGTGTTTGAGATTTAGTTACTATTCAGAAAAGGCACTGTGATCATTCAGAGAGTTTTGTGAGAGTTGTGAGCTTTTCTTCCATTTCAGTAGGACTGTTGCTGGCTGGAGAATGCTTGGATGGACGCTGAAATGTTACAGGCCTATATATGATACTGGTTTTAAGCAAAACTCATATCATGAAGAAATACAGCACAACTGTGCTGTTCAACTGTCCAGGTACAGTGAGAACTCAGCTTTAGATGTCTGCATCTAAAATTGTCCCATTTGCAGCTGAAGAGAAATAGTCATTCTTAGATCACCGTTCATCTGGCCTTGAAGTAGAAGTATAAAGCAGGTTAGGTGAATGGTGTTTCTAGAAATGTCTATTTTTCCTTTCTGTGCCTATCAAGTGAGTTCAACTTGACTACCTCAGCTGAAGACATCCACACCATCAATATCTGAGTTAAGTGACCTGACTTTAGCCCTTCCGGTATGGCAATCAGGGGAGACTTCCTCCTGCTGGGCTGGTGCTTTTTCTTTTCTATACGTTTAGTAGAGCTTGCTGTTCAAATGGTAGTATGGAGCTAAAAGCAGACTGCCCATCTTACCTAAACCAGCAGATCCAGTGTTCTCCACAACACACAGAATGTGCTAGGCTGAGCCCTCAAGGCTCAGCCTGATTTGTCCCTTGTGTCTTTGATACTGCGTGAGAACACTGTCATTGGGCCTTTCTCTGTAGATGCTTTGCCAAACTGTTTTAGTAAAGTGTTCTTGAGGCCAGGACACCTATGCAAAGTCCCTTGCACTATTTTCAGGAGCTAGAGGACAGTGACTGCTGCCAGCATCGCTTGCTCATTTGCAAGATTTCAGGTGGGCTAAAAATGAAAATCTAGTGTTCTTCAGGGCTTTGGTTAAACCTCCTAAGCATCAATCTTAAGTGCTTTCTTTATATTGCTCACGTACAGATGTTCCGTCTTACTTTTAATTGTGGGGTTTTTTAACTTCACATCCCTTTTCCACACCCATTTCACCCTGTAACACACACTCTGCAATAAGCCCAGCCTGAGTGCTTCCAGTATATTTAAATACAGTGGAAATTCACCTTCCTTGGATTCAGCTGTGTTGTTACAGTGTAAGAGAGAAGTGTTACTGATTCTCTTTGGGACGCATGTTTATGCGGAGATGAGAAATGCATTGGTATCGCTTGCACATTTAAAAACGATGGCAGAGTAAAATCTCTACCTCCCGTTCCCCCATTATGCTAAGTGTCGCTTCTGACATTTGTCTGCTTGACGTTTCCTTTTATGCATGTGGAAGCTTTACCTTCTGAGTGAGACCTTCCCCTCTGAACGTTTACAGTCCTTAGATTTACAGTGGTGTTCATCATGCATGAAATAGTGAAATTTCAAATCTAGCTCACAAAGTCAGATACAGACAATATGCTCTTTTGATGAATCAAGTGAGATTTTGCTAGGTGTTAATGTGGCTTTGAGGGACTAATGAGGAGTTCATTGACCATGTGATCCCCAAATTTTAAGCCACAGTGAGATTATGCAGTGGGTTGGAATGAAGCTCTGCTCTCACAGTTGTCATTTTTTGCTGGTCACTGGTAAAGCGTTCTGCCGACCCACCTGCTTTAGCAGTCTGCAGTTTTGTTGGTTCTTTCGTCTTTCTCCCTTCTCTTTCCAAAGGTGGGTGGATGGCAAATTGAAATATTGAGTATTGACCACGCCCATATCCAGTAGCATTGATGTCTTTAGTGATTTATTTTGCCATGATTGAAACTGGTGGGAACTTTGATATCAATTTGGAGAGCAAGATCTGTGAATTACTTGGGTTTTGAAGTGTTTTGCATGGGAATCATACGGGATTGTAATTGAGAGAGCGCTGTGTATCATATTCCTTTTTCCCTCTAGCAATACCTTTTTATTCCTTTTGAAGAGTTTTGCCTGGTATCCAACAAAGTTCACTGTATAAACGGCAGTGTAACAACTTTAGTATACAGCTGTATGTCAGACTGTGCTACCTAGTGATTTAATTCCAAGACCATCTATGCTAATTTGAATATGCATGATGCTGTTCAGAAGAAGAGATGTTTCCTGCATAGAAATTTGCAATTTAAAAAGAAAACAGGAAAATAAGATTAGGTAGGGCAGGTGAGGCCAATCTGATTATATGCTCAATTCTGAGACTAATGCACAGTGTGATGGATGTTTTACTTAAAATGTTTTTGTACATGCATGTGAATGAAATATGTAATTTTGCTTGTGTTTATATGGAACGAAATTGCTTGTAAATATTTCAGGGTTGTTTTTTTTCCTTGCTCTCCTGGAGAGAGTTTCTTTGTAATTTCTAAGAAAATAAAATTAAAAAAAAAAATTCAGAAATAAAAATCCTAAAGGTGTTGTGTGGATTTTTTTTTGTTTGCTTTGAAGAATGGTGCCGTGAATGCGAAGGCCACTCTTGGGGTTCTGTCTACCCTTAGGTGGGGACTGGAGTAGACCTTTTGCAGGCCTGAATAAGGTACTGAGGTAGTATCAGTGTTAACGTCACAGCTAGGGAGATAAGAGATGTTATTCCAGGATGTGGCCAGAGAAAATGGAAGTCTTATTTTTCACAGGTGCCAGTGCTAGCGAGCCCCAGAAGTGATATTAGTACCACAGTGC